TTCATATGTTCGATTAGAAAGTGGAAATAGAGTCGTTATCTACAGGAAATAACAAGAACATTTTATTACATATAAATTATATTCTCTTATTTGATTATTTCTTTTTATCTCAAATTCATTCTAAATGATGTCGAATAAAAATACCATTTTAATATCAAATAATTGCCTCTTTCTTATGGTTGTATGGAATTGCAGTGTATTGGTGTATTGCAAATACGTGCCCAGAGGAAGGGATTACGCGTTAGCTACAGACCGGAACGACATAAATGCACGATTGAGTTAACTAAACAAGATCCAGTGGCGTGTCATAAATGTTGCGTTCGGGATTAAATTGTTCCAAGTTACAAAACAATGTGTTTACCGATCGTGTCGGCGCGTTCGCGCCGTTAAACTGCGGATGAATGATAATTATCATCAAATGGGAAACTTCCACCATGCGGGACATTTATTGTTCTCTATGTTGTTAGCGATTAAGTAACATAGTGGTCGAATAAAATTGAATGGGATTCCTAGAATACGTGATTTAAAACCCTTTTATTGCAGGTATTTTATAGTAAAATATAACCGGGGGTTTCCCCTTTGGGATTGTTTGTACGTAATGTTGACTTAGAGTTACGTTTTAATACAGCCCCGCCGACGACGATACCAATAAATATCTCGACACTTGTGCGAAAAAAAATGACGAAATCCGTTCGCCGACGACAACGAGAAAATGGAGACGCAGAGGACGGAGAATGAACGGTACCCCGAAAAGTGGAGAACACAAAATGGAACTGTTATGTTTGATTTATTCCATTGATCCGTACGATGTTTCGGATGCGGACCTCGCTTTAATACCGATATAAATCGAAAGAGCCATTTCAGATTGCGAACTCGATTTTTCGCCTGTAATTTTCACCATACGTGAAATCTCGAAAAATATTGTTAGTACCGTCCCTGGTATAAAGACAGTAAAACCTCGATATAACGGATTAATACGGGAATATTAAAAATTTTTAATTTGCATTTTAAACTGTTTGAATGAATCATTTTAATGCACATAAATTTAAACAGCTACCACACCGTTGTGTTCAACAATCTAACACTAAAAAACAACTAACACTAACACTAGACTTAGAACTAGAAACAGTTAGGTTTTACACTGAATTTTGATATCTATTAATTAATTAAATAGGAATTGAAACGAACTTACTTGCAAAAATATATAAATCATTGAATACGGTTATAGTAAACCAGTGTATAGCAAGTAGATACGTGCATATACCTATTATGCGGTTGCAATTTAGGGGTTCCGATTAAATTACTTTAAAACGGATTAGCGAATGAAATTTCAAACGTACGAAATCGATATCCCATCGTGATCAGCAGTGCATTACGAACATTGTTACAAATTGATATTGGGCACGGTAATAAGTACAGCTTATGCACGAACTATTGTTTAGCCAACTACATCTACATGTCAACGTACTTGTTGATGTGTGTACTTCATTATCATATACGTCATTAACTTATTGTGCAGCATTGTGTGGCGATTTGAATGTAAAATATATGATTTTATAATCAACCAAAATCATTCGCTTAAAATTTATACGACCAGCTAAGAATCTTGGCAGATTGTACGGGTGAATTAAAAGTTTATGACGCGGAGTGAAAGGAAATGGGACTCGCCATAAGATACCTACACAAAAAGGAAAACTGGATATTAAAACGTTCTCCCCTCTAATGACAAAATCAATAGTTTGTGACACTTATTCGGTTACTGTGGTGGCAGGCATCATGAGAAGTGGCAGAAGGTATAATCCGAGACAAGTTGAAATGACGGCAAATTAACAAATATAACTTTGGTTTATTAAAAGAATGACATTTAAAAGTTAATGAAAAATTGTTTTCATTCTTTTAACTTTTATAAATGAAGTTGGTAAGTTATTCGTAGAAGTGTCTACTTAGTACTCTTCAATATATAGCCCCCATTTAACCCAATCACCGTTTTACGCTTGAACGAAGCGTCCATAAAATTTCTTTAATTTAAAAGTCCGACATACCAAACTGTTTTTAGTCGAAAGCAGCCCGAATTCAATTAATTCGAAGCTCGTTGGCATTCGACTATTCAATGGAACTTGGACGGGGAACTGTCCTTAAATTTAAACGAATCCCTACGGAGCGCGGCAATTTTAACCCGGATGCCGTCAGCGGTAACTGCATTCCTCTGAACTCTGAAACTTTGTCAATGATAATTTTCCTAGTACACAGAGGGACGAGCACGATAATCCCCACCGTCGAATAAAGCGACCTTTGAAGGTGACATTAAAAGAGAAGTAGTTTACCCTTGAAGTATCCAAAGCGGACGGCAAAGGAAAGCAATAAGGGTCAGTTGACGAAAGATAAAGGAACACATAGTGGAACTTTGTCGCCGTAAAGAAACTAATATAAACTTCATTCAGACTGGTCTACGTATCTTTTGAATGGTCTTCGTAATGATGGAACTAAGAGTGTTTTCACCTACTGTTATAACCTATAAAGATAACGCACAAAAAAAAGAACATGAAACATAAATAAACCTAAGATTAATAAGATTATTCAAGAATGGAAGAACAAATGAAGTGTAATAAAGTTCGTTAAGTTTGTCGTCCCTTACTTATTGTTGAGATATGGAGTGGCGATAAGTAATCAAGGGTTTAGTTACCCTCATATATCAGGCTTAGGAGAATAATGAAATAAAGTCTCGGTCCCCTTCCTATTTACCTTCCACAGGAAGTTACCCTTAATCCCACAATTCTTCGCGACTATTTTTTCTAATCCCTTAGCGAATGGATAGGCTTATAGACAAATCGATAATAAGACGAGGAAGAACGGTGATTGAAAGTATTATAAAGTACAAATGCGTACAAAGGCAATATTTTACTTCCAAGAAATTGACTATGTAAATTAAATTATGTACTTTACGCCAGCTCGGGGCCAATTTCTTAGATATACACGGCAAGATGGTAGCTAATTGCAAAATTAGTTAAGTAATGCCTTTCATAGTTACGAAGTAAGATAAAGAGAAGATTGAATCTTTAAAATTATTATACAAGCCGTAGTGGAACTCTATTATTATATCCTTCCCGTGCACGCACACACGTTTTCCAACAACTTCTTCGTTAATGGTTATATTTTTCGAGTACGAAGTGGCCAAACAGAGAAAATGATTAATGGCACTCCATCAAAAAAAAAACGAGCTTTTTCTATCTCCGTCACGAAAGGCCATTTTACTGGTAGAAATATTTACAAATGATCGAGAAAGTAAAAAGTTTGCCCAACCGAGACTCCAATATAAAAGTGTTAGCGTTAGCACCGCAAATGAATGAGCTGGACGTCGACAGCTACTTTTTGTAGGATCAATTTTCACATTTAACGTATTAATCATCTCGGAGAAGATTAATTGCTGACACATTACCAAAAATTTCAGTCAGACTATAACCTAAAAAAATAATAACACTTTAATTTTTTTCTTTAACAAAAGATACATTATTCATAATCAGATAATTTTATATAGTTAGTTATAACCCAACATATTATTAATATTTATTCTAATAATACTTTAAATACTTCATATTTGATACTCTTTGCAGAAAACTAGATACTGCTAATTGAATCTTCTGGTCTGTTGTGCTGTGCTGCTGTTTACCTGTTTGTGCAGTTTTGTATAGTTGTTTGATTCTTCTATTGTGCTATTGTATGCTTCTGTACTGCTGGTATATTGTTCGATTCTACGACTAGATGCTTCTGTTCTGCTGGTGTATTTTTTTTTCTTATTTCTTGATGTTTTTGTCTTGTTTGTGTATTTTTGGTTCTTAAACTTGGTTTTTGTTTGAGGTTGATTGGTTCTTTTTGTTGGTGGCTTGGTTTTGTTGTTGTTTGTTCCGGCGGGTTGCTTTGCCCCTTTTTGAGTGCAAGTTTTTCAGTAATATCTCATTTTCACAATAACACAAAACCATATAAAGCAGACTGTGTAATGCGGTAATTGAAAGCATTGGAGATGAGAAGAATATGAAGCCATGATAGCTGTATTATAAATCATGTAATATCAAATATGTGCCATAAAAAAAATGCGAAACAATTTAAATTGTTGACTCCTCGCTATTTGTATAAAAATTTGTAAATTGTAGTCCTATTTCTACTGCTTCTATTATTAATCCTAGGCTATATTTAATCATCCCAGATGAATACTGTTCCTTTCATTGAAGGGACACATTTGGTTTTACATACAGATGTTTTGTATCTAAATATTAAAGATCGCATAACAAGCTATTTTGAAATCTATCTTACATTTTAACAATTTAATTAAAATAATTGTGTGATGACTTAAATATAGATTAAATGATTTTTTATTTGCTAATTCCCGTTTACATTGTGACCTAAACTAAAAAAAAATCCCAATATAACTTCTTTATTAGTAGTAGAGGTTTTGTAAAATATCGAAATAGTTGATGGAACAATATCCTGCAATATCATTCGATAATTGCTTTAAAAAAAAATACTGTTTTGTAACAACCGAGCATTTCAAAGGTTTCAAAATATTACGGTCAATCTAAAGTCAATGCGATGCGTGTTGAAAAATGGATTGCGAAACTCGATGTATAAATTCGGATGAGAGAACATTTTCCAACCCAAGAATGATTGATACCGAATGCAAATTTCATGTGTGACACGGTTGATACGATTTATACCGCGTATATGCAAAAATACACTTTTACTGCCTTGTTTTTTTTTTGTGTCATCTGACGGGGTTATCTGAATAGGCTCGTACTCGCATTTCAATATATCGACAAACAGAGTGAATTAAAAGCGCTAATAATTCAGTTGACCGACGTTCGAGGGATATGGGAAAAATCCCGAACGCGAATATCATCAATCCATGCATAATTATTGCCAATTTTCCCAATACGAATTTTTTGATCGACGAAGTATAGCGTGAAATTACAAACGAATCAAATCGATGTTTTATTTTTATGACTTACCTAATACAGTTGAAAACATAAAAGCTGCTAAAACGAATTTGACCCATGGTAAATAAATTGGAGATGATCTCATGTCGTCTGCAATATCATGTCTATTTTTCCACTATCACTATACAAAGATCACTTACACTTAGAAGTTACACTTAAAAGTTATACACAGAAGTTACACAAGAGTCACTGATAAAGTTGATAGATATACCTGAAAATAAAAAGAAATACAATATCAATTTTTATTTCACACAATAATTACAATAATGGAGCGATGTTAAACGAGGAAAACTTGTATATATGTTTGCTTCAGACAGGGATTTATAGTTCATGCAAATTGCATGGGATTATAAATTACGTTTAACCTAACCTGAACAAAAGGTTGGCTTGATTTACGTTGCCGTTTTTGAACAAAAGACTTAACTTATGAAGGTTACAAAACAATATAAAACACCAACGAATAATACATCTATACAATTCAATTTAATAAATTCGCCGCGATAAATTACCGCTTAACAAAAGTATTAAAATTTTAAATCAAATTAAAAACTCGGCAATTACGAATTACTCAAAATTAAAAAAACAATTACAAAAACTTCAAGTTTTAGTGGCAAATTTGAAATTTTGCCAATTCAATCTTTTAAAATTGTATTTTTATCTTCTTGAGTGAACGTTCTTAATCCCATCAATTTCTTTTGAGTTGAATTCAATTAGGTACTATCAACCCTAAATCAGTTAAAGTTATTGATTTCCTGTCGTATTCGGACTCACCCTTTTGTAATTTTGTTACGTAATTACTAATACCTTATCTACTCACTTTAGAAGTTATATCAAAAATTGTTTCTTTAATTTTTAATTTGGCATTTGATGAGTTATTAACAGAATCAACCTGTTCAATAATAAATGTTATTTTATGGTTTTTGATAACTTATTGAAATTAATTACACGATATTAACGCAGGAACTAACAAATCATTCTGAATCTAATCGCTGTCTACTAAGTCTTCATCTACAAAGATATCTTGTGGAAGTCTTTGTTTTAGGAGGATATGAATTCCAATATCTCCTAGTTGATGTTATTGAGCATTTAGACACATTTGGAGGTCGTGTAAATATTTTCTGGTTGTTTTACTGCATGCATAGGTTATTAAAGGTCTTATTAATGATTTATAAAGTCTGCTAACGATAGGATAAAGTTCATTTGTCCACGTAATAAGTCTACTCCAAATATACTCCTAGATATTTGACAGCGTTATTCCACTTCAAACAATGAACTTGGATTGATATTGTTGTAGGATTTTTAACTTGCCCACTTAGGTGTAAATATGTTGATCTCACATTTACTTGCATTTAAGTAAAAGCACCAAGTGGATAACCTTTTATGAATCAGATGTTAAATAGTAACAGTGAGAGGATGCTGCCTTGAGAAACTTCAGCCTTGATTGATTCTAACATTATCTTCTTAATCTTCTAAAAATAAGGAATTTATATTTTGAGAGTTTGCCAAAAGAACATTTACAGTACTAATAACATTTTTATGTTTTTATGCTTCCACAGGTCGATTGGATTAAGAAATAAATGTTAAAACCAATTTGTTAGTAGTTAGTGATTTGAAAATCAAATTTCAAAGTTTAGCTGCCAGTTTCAATAGTTGAAAACTGACGTAACTATTGACGTGCTCGCCGTAATAAATAAATAAAAATAGAGAATTGAATTAAATCGAGCAACGGGAAAAAACCGACACTATAAATTGAGATAAATTAATCAAATATATTATTGGCCTTTACCATCATAAACATTCACATGTAAAAGTTTAATTAAATTGCATAACCGGAAGTTACCTTGACTTTCTGCCGTATCATGTTACAGTCTAAAGCCATATACAAATTAATTTATTTAGATTTTAATAATCATTTTTCGAAATGCACACATATTTTATAATAACTGCTGCAAATTTCACGATTCTAAATAAAACTTTAAAATGTTTGTTTTTATAATTTTAAATATTTAAATTTGCGGTCGATTTCAATGTTTTCTCCTTGACCACTCGAAACTATTTGTTATTGTTATTTGTTTTATATTTTATTTCAATTTTTGAATCAGTACAGTAAAAGTTCGATATAACGGATTAATACTGGAAAGGGAGTGTCCGTTATAGTTAAAAGTTCGTTATATGAAACATTTTTAATGTTTGAATGAATAATTTTAATGTACACAAATTCGAATAGCTATCCACATCGTTGCGTTCTTTATTAGATAGTTCTACTTTTAGTTTAATAAAAATAATCTAGCGCTGACTAACAATTAAAACTAACACTAGACCTAGAACTTTTAAGTTTTTATCCATTATATGTATCTAAAGTATGTTTTAATGAGGTCCGTTATATCGAGATTTTACTGAATCGTAAGCGAGCTGATAGAAGAGGAAAAGAACCGAAGGCAGATTCTAGAAGAGAGGGGAGAAAGCTGAGAATGGATCAGGGTGGCGGTTGGAACGAGGGGAGGGAGGAAGGTTGCTGATAGGGGACAATAAAAACTCTTATATATATATATATATATATGTTGCTATAAAAGCCGGTAAATCCTAAGATTTTCAAGTGAAACCTAACATTTACCAACTCTGAATGGTAAAAGTCCGAAATGTTCTGTGATCATCGTTCATTTCGAACTTTTACCACCATTGACTCGGTAAATCTTAGGTTTTACCGCAGAGACACGGTAAATGTCGAAAAATAGACGTGTTCTGTGCATGCTCTCGTACTCGTGAGCAGTCTGCACCCCCCGCCACCCATACCACCTCTATTTACCATCACCACTTGTCTCAATCGACCATTTCACACGTTTGTTTTGATTTCTGTTTGTTTTTGATGTCCGAAAGTAATTTATGAATCGAAAGTGATATTAATTCGATATATGTGAGTGTTTTCACTATCTGAAAGTAACTTATGAATCAAAATGAGTGTAAAAAGAAATTTTATGAAACAATGAACGAGCTTGTAGCAAGCAAGAAAGATAATAATTTTTATATCGACAAAAACAAATATGGAAAGGAAGGAAAGCGTTCATTATAGGTGATTAAAGCGTTATGATATTTTGACTATAAGCTGGCGAAGAAAAGGTAATTGCGCCGGTGAAGGAAAAGAATGAAGAAATCAAGTATTACGTTTGCTACGACCACTTATTTAATATTTTCGAAGAATCGCATGTTGCTGTTGGATACGATGAAAGGACAAGGATGCTGAAGGACTGTAATCGCAAGTATAAAAATGTAACAGCTGAGGCTGCACGGTGTGTTAACTCAATACGTATAAAAAAAGACAGATATTTAATGGGTACCACGGACGGCTAGATGGCACTGTAAGACCAAATTGCTTAAAGTCCCTAGATTTACAAAGTACCGCGGTTTGCCGCCATTTTGAAAGTCAAGCGGGAACTTTAAAACTATGTCGTTCTATTGATGACATTACGCCAAAATTCCTTTCATTTTTTCTCGTGGTACTCTGAAGAGACGAAAGTGCATGCGTTTTGTTGCAGACAAAACGAAGTGAAAACAAAATTCAAATTTTCACCAGTCAACATGAAAATGATACCTTTACTGTTATCATTTTCATGTTGACTGGTGGAAGTTGAAATCAATAATTAATAACCATTAACTGAATAAAAATACTTTTAAATTTCGCGCTTTATTAAAAGTAGTAGGTACCACAGACCACTAGAGGCGTTGAAATCAATTGGACCGAAAAAATAGTGGGGAATAATGCTTCTATATATATATATTTATATTATTTTTCTATGTGAGGCTGTTATGACATATTTGAAGGTATGCCAACCTTGTCAGACAAAAATACAGAAGACTTTGAAAAAGGTTGTCATCAAGCCATTATCATTAATTCTATACTTCATAGTGAAATAAAATTTTCGTTATGTCATTTCGCTATCTGGTATCAAAAATAACTATGTATATTGTTTTTTTCTGAAAACCAACATTTACGAACAGTTATTGGTAAAGCTAAAAAAAAATTATACCTTGTTTAAAAAATCTTCATATTTACCAACTCAAACACCCTCTATATAAAAAAACCTGAAACACCCTGTATATACTGAATCGTATTTTTGATTTGAATCTGTGAATCTGAATAATATATGGTAAAAATTTGGATGAGATATCACCAGATGTTGTGGTCATTGTTTATACGAAACCAACGGTTCCCATAGGTACATCTAAATGCATGCATTCATGTGTACACATGTGCGAATTTGAGAATTTGCTCGGTGAGCTCGACAGGAATAAAAGAATTTTACAGGCTTTCGCACAGCACAACCCGGTTGTCCACAACAGATCGCAATATTTAAATTGCGAAACCGGAATTTTATTCGAATTCAAACCGAGCGATTTGAACTACAGAAAATACATCCTCGAAATCATGTTAAAAGCGAAATTAAACAATATTTTTAGTATTAATTTTTATTGATATAAAATACTTTTTAGTATAGTTATATATTATGTCAAATTATTCGTAGGTAAATGTAAGCCGGCGTAATAAATTCAACTCGTGTGACGTAATTAGTAGCCGCCGAGCGATGTGCTCATGTTACAGATATTAAATTGGTTATCAAATTTCCATGCAGGGGCGATTTAAATAAATCGTGCCGCGGATATTCGTCTCTTGATGAAAACAGAATCTCGTGCGCTTAAATCCATATATCTCGCTGCCAAAGCATTTCGGATATAAAATGATTAATGAGTATGAATACAGCTCATCAGATCGAATTCAGATAAAATAGTCGTCTCTATTCAATACAGTTTTAATTTTTTTTCTATATGTATACATCGCGTATTGAATGACCGTGGTCACAAAGTTCAACGTTTCGGTTCAAATCTAATTTATAGCGTAGACATACGACGACGTTCATACTTTTGAAAGCTTTCAAAAACTTTTCGTTTTAGAAGAAAGAAACCGAAATTAAACTGGCTCTAGAAATTCGTCCCGCTCTGATTTGAGGTGCAATTCACGCCTCTTTCATAAAACTTTTCGCTCGTCTCCCGATGTCACTGAAAACAGGTAATAATGTTACAGAGTTTTCCAATTTGTACATTTTGTTCCTAATACATATCACAACTAGAACGTATTCTATAATTCTTAATAAATTGTAAACTCTTTTATAAATGTAAGTAAGAATTATGATTTAAATTTTAAACTATGATTAAATGTCGTATTTCATTTACGAAGTTTCATAACAACTTTACAAAGGAACTCTTTCCATTAATTACCTTCAATTACATTCTTGCTGCTATATTTAAATTAATTAAATGTTTCAACATTTAACTGAAGAAGTATTAGTATTAATAATTTTATTTTTGATTTAAACGTTTTCATTTAACTAATTTAAATTAATTCAGATTGAATTCGTTTACAGCACCAGTTGAGTTAAATTAAGAGAAGTGTTCAACGAAAGAAAGTTAATTACTTCCACTTTAACAAATTAAAACAATTTTCGTCAACAAGTCTATTTTATAATAACCAAGGATACACAATGTGTTAAATAAGATCTTTCCTAACAGGTTATTTAGATGTATTAGTTTCATCTCTTTCATTTATTTTCTTTTGTAATTCAAAGATGAATCGTTTATTGTTATCAGGCCAATCCTCTTGGATTCAGTTACCTATTAGAGAATCAAAAAGGACCCAAGTAAGAAGATAATTAGAAAAATGAAAGAATTTTTGAAATCTACAATTTTTGTAGATCACCTAAACACCAGACAAGTTTTTCGTACAGCCCCCAGTACCACCAAGAATCCTATCTCAAGATTGTCAGTGACCTAAATTCTCCAACTTATCAGCTGAGGAAACACCTTGCCAAGATTTTGTCTCTTTATACAGCTAAAACAGAATTAATCAGAAGTATGAATTAAATCCCAGGATATCCTGATAAGTTTCGATGTGGAATCTCTATTTACAAGAGTACCAGCAAAAGATGTCGTGGATGGTCTTGAGTATATTATGGATATATTAGAACTTCTCCATACTCCACATCATGATGCATAAAGCTGTAATGTAGATGTGGTAGCAAAGTATTTTATTCAGAATGTTCTTCTCTTGAAGCGTTGAAGATTTTATAGGACACCAGTTTTATTTTTGGGCAACCCATGCTACTTTGCTGGCCAAGAAGTTTGATACATTCCAATCACTACATACCAGCAAACCGCCAAGACGTTCATATCTATTTTGGATGTAAATTGGATGTAGAAAACGCCCACATCAAATTTGTTTCATAACTCTGCTACAACTTGGCAGAGATTAGTTCACTATGTATTGAGTCTAGAGTAAGCACCGCAAGCTTTGAAGATCATGTTGAGGTGTTGTCAGAAAACATCATCTAAATTAAAACATGCTTCAAAAACTCAACTCATTAAAGACTTAATCATATCAAACCTTCATCACAACCTCACATCATGTCTTATAAAACATGAGTTCAAAATCAAGTTTACTAATTGTAATAAATTTAGTATATTTAACAATAATAAAAAAAATGGTCGTACCTACAGGAAGAGAAAACGTGCAGAAAGAGAGAGAGAGGGTATCCACTGATAAACACTCAGTTTATCATACGAATTTAGTCTTTTGTAAGAATTATAATTATGTCAAGTCAGTGTCAGACAGAAAAGCATAAACAGCGATCACAATAGCATTGTTAACGATAAGTGTTTGGTCGCGACGTGAAGTGTCGTTGTAACGCGACTTTATCGGTTACAGTGAGCACAACGAATGCACGCAAGAAAAACACGCACGCACCGAAATCTCGGTAAAAATGAGCATGTGAATGGAACAGCGTCGCGACGCTGAATGAGACCACGAGACGACATCTCACACGCCGCCGACACCGGCGCTCACCAAGAGAGAGACGACTACAATGAGAATGAACGACGATCACACGAAACGAGAACGCGCCGCGACGTGTAATTCGGCCGACGCGCAATAGGGTGCGCCGCAAACTGAGGCAACCCTTGGTTCGGCGCCTCATCCACTGATAGTGGAGGGTGGAAGCGGCGCCTCTCCGCGTCTACCCATACACGTGGAGAAGAGTAAAGGGAGAGTAGAGAAAGCGTACAAAGTGAAAATGTGAGAGTGAGAGGGAGATACTTTAGGGGTAGAAAGGCATCCTTCCCTCCCTGTCTTTTTTCGCCAGACCGTTGGAGGGGTGGTGGCGGCGGTTGTTAGCGGCAGCGTCACTCGTAACGAGAGGAAGAGAGAGAAAGAATTCTTCTTATAGTTCGGTCGGTTGGGGCATTTTCGACGGGAAACCGGGATGACATTTACTGATTCTCGTTGTCCCCGGAAGTTGACCCGCAAGCCTTCTACTAGTAAAGCGACGAAAAGACAAAGCAGAAACAGAATTAATCGCTCAAGGCGCGATCGATTCGATAAATCTTCCTTTGTCCTCACCTGACGCGACGAAATTGGCTGTCTTGGCGTCCATACGAAATTAAACTGATTAATAGAAGATTGCCTCATATTTTAACTTTTTTCAACATCCATAACAACAAAATCTTGGAAATATTCCTTCTATACCACTTCTGAATAGTGTTAAAGGGCTCCAATTCGCAGCTAAAGAATTTAGATGTTAAAATAATCTACATCGTCATCATTGCAAGTATGCAACCAATATCACAGTATTTTTATTGCAATACGCGATTTGCGTATGATGCGTATTGCACCGTGATATCGGTTGCATACTTGCAATGATGACGTCGGGTACGATAATTAATTAACACACTGTATATTATTTTGATCTTATCAGAAAACACTGACACACAAACGTAATCATAATTGACATAAATAGGATAAATCGGATATATGCATTAAAACATTTAGTGAATACAATTTAGAAGCTAAATATAAGATAGAAAACAGTTTCAATAATTGGAGTGTTTAGATTAGACACAACGGAAGGAATTGCAAATCTAACTTCGTGTTGATTCTTCATCGCTTATCATTAAATTTATATCAATAATTGATTTATAATGGGTATTTCTGTATATTTACAATCATATTGGCGATATGGGTCATGAAATCAATCGGGCTGCAATCAAACCTCAGTGTCAATCAAATTTTATCTCCTCTAAAAATCTATACAAAGTCATTTATTTTTAATTGAATCCATCCCTATCGTCATTGTCAGTTAATTCTAGTTGCGAAACATTTTATACGGTCGATTGAAAGTGGTGTTTGATATGAACGCGGAACTTCTGAACTCGCGCTATTGGGCGTCCTTACTGATGAAATTGGAGACATTGTGAGAAATGTCCACAGTATTGATTGATTGACCAATTAACTCTAATTGAAGTCCCTTCCGAAGATAATCATACACCATAATCACATATTGTACATTATTCCAAACCTCATACATTCGGAATAAAAGATATTTAATATATTTGGATTTTCTTAGATTCTCGGTTGAGATATCTTCTTTTCCAGGAGATTAACTCGCCAGACTGTTAGTTTACTTTTTCTTGCTGTAGCTCCAGCAGAATTCTGTTCCATCGTTTCATTAATTATCTTCGATAACTAATATGGAAATAGTTGGGTAGCTATTATTAGGAATTCCAACTGATCTTTGAAATTGAACTACTTTGTGATACTTTGATGTTAGTGGAATAGGGTAGGGTTAGTTTGCTTTGGAATTAGATTAGATTGATTTGAAATTGACATGGCTTGGTTTGTTGTTAGGTTGGGTTGCCATCTACTACTCAACTTCCATCTGAAATGAAAAAAGTATTATTAAAAGTATTAGGAATTGGACTTGGATTACTGTGGAATTGAGATAGTTTGTGATAAAGCTGGTGTGGAGTTGAATAAGATTGTATTAGTTTAGTTTTGGAATTAGGTTGGGTTGATTATTTGTATTATTTTATTGGAGAATAAAGGTGATTATTATTATTATTGTTCAAAATAGAATCATGGGGGTTGTAATGATGGCGTTGGCAATCTTGAAATATGCAGAGTTGGGGTTGGGTTGGGTTGTTTTGGATTGGGTTGGATTGGGTTTGGTTGATACCTCGACATTTTAACCAGCAGAGAAGCAGAGTTTTCATCATATTGTACTTTCTCCATAGGACATTTTTCCATATTTGTCTATTTCCTGGATATCTTCTTGATTACCTGTCGATTACATTGTTTGGACTTATGCACCACGATGCATACAGTTTTACCTACATCTTAGCCAAAATCATGCATTTTTAATATCATTGCGATGTCTTGATAAAGCTTTTGTGGTTGAAATCTTGCGAATCCACATATATTACGCGTTATATTAGAATAAACCAAAGCTTAATTAAAACCCATTTATGAAAGATAAATATATATTCAAACGAACTCTATCGTAAAATGAGCTATAAGAAAAATAAAGATCGTATGAACAGTAATAATAGAATATTGTAAATACTTTCATTTTATATGAATACGTTCAATTTCCAACTGTGTTACTTCTTTGTATTTAAAATTTTCGATTTCTTATAGTTGAGCGAAAGGAGCAACAAAGAAAGAATAATGAGCAGGATGAGTAGTCAAAGGTGTTCTCCTTTAAAGTAAATGGAATTGGTCTCCTAGACAATTTATAAGATTCGCATGCCAGCGCATACGAAGTACTAGATTTAATTAAATTGTCTACCTCTGAAGAGAATTTTAATTGAACTAAATGTTTCAAAATTTAAATTAAAAACTCCGGTGCTATCCAACTAGTTTGGATTACGTAATTTGATAAAAGGGTGCGGTATTATTTACACACATGTATACAAATTATAGAGAAAGATCTGACGACGTATACAACCCCACCGAGGACGACATAATTAATTAATTATACAAAAAAACTTTAATTAATTATGAATGTACTCTCATCATCTAATTTATAGATATAAGAAAAAGTGGTTTAATCAATAAAGTTATTTTAGAAAATCCGTAGATAAACGAAATGTGTAAAGTTATAAAGTAGCACATTACAGTAAATGTCGATAACGGATGTAGTGAGTGGGCCATACTTGATGAAAATTACGGATCATGTGCCTTTGATGTTCGATGGGCTTTCCGAGAGCGAAAGAACAAAAAAGCCGTGAGAGGGAACATAATTCGACTTTATTGGAATAGGGGAACCCGTTGCCGTCGTTCCTCCTTTAATATGTATTGACCGGGAATTTGATACGAAAAAAAAATACAAAATCGAACGCTTTGACAATGTATTTATCGGTTTATTTTTTTGTAAATAATAACGAATCGTCGAGTTTATAAAGGGTTTGAATTGAATGATTTATAGTGACATAGCCTGTATATCGAAGGTATAGATTTTTCACAGAATTTTCCATTACAGTGGCGAGTCTTGAAAATAAATTTCAGCTACCAGGAGTGCGTATGACAGTAAAACGATCAGTATAGAACAATACAAATTTAATGCGAATACAAATTTGATTCGATATCATAAATGCAAAAATTTATTTCATTTTAAGCGAATAATATAACCTGTTAGGTTAAGTTACCTATTAAACAGAACCACGAGATAACAGGTGTAAACTTAACCAGAACCAAAGATTAACGAGCTCCGTTGTTAAAGCATTATTACGTACGGGAAATTAATATACACGCGGAACTACTAACATACCCACATGGTAGTACCGACGTCTTAGTAAATCACCCGAAATTTGCAGTAATTATTCTAGAATGAATCCCCATACATACATATACCACATTATTGTCTCTACGTTGTAACTACTTGACATCTCACTACTACAATGTCAGGTACTTCTAAGATGTTACCAAACATTTACATGATTTATTTAATTATTTATATTTATAAGTTTAATATTAAATGCGTAACACGCATTAAACTGAAATCAATTATTAGTTAAAACTTTCACCCTTCCTCTAAAGTTTCGGAACAATACTCCAACCAACCCCTGTCTTGAACTAACTTCTCAAATATATCTTAGATCAACGGTTCTTAACTTGTGCGATTTCGTGTATTAGATTGAATGCGTTAAGTGGTAGAGGGGAAAGTTTAAGTTTACAAAAAACTGTCTAACTGAAATTTAAATGTTCTTTGAAAATTACTTAACCACTTTTTTATTGCTACCAAAGAATTTTATATAAACGTAGTCAATAAAATTCTCATTTAAGTTTAAGTGCCTCGTTATATCTTTCTAAGTTGAATTAAATACGTAATTAGATTCTATTCAGCTTTCGTTCCTCCTTTTAATAGAAACTAAAGATTACAACCTGTAATAAGAAAATCATTAACGATTCATACCTTATCCCGGCGACCCAGTTTCTTTCAACTAATTACTGTTTGGTAGATCGGAAACTATGCGCAAGTGCAGCCGGCGGTATGAAGTTGTCCAAACTAACTGGAGACCTGTAATCGCGGGTTAATGCGGTTACGAAACGAGCAACGTTAGGGCCAAATTGCAGTGTTAGTACTTCACTGTACTTCTACACATAACGGCTTATTGGGCTAATATTTAACGACTTGATAGAAATTTCGTGCAGGTTAAAATATTTTAACTTTAAATTGGATAAAACTACTTAGATACGAACGTTCATGTATTGATTAATCTCAACAATGCTATTTTAATAAATTTCAGGGAAAGTTGCGTATAACCACTCCTCACATATGCTTGTCACTCATAGTTTCAGAGTTTTGGCATTTAACAAGGAGTAGTATTAATCTCCTGAAACGTAACAACGGAGCGAAATAAACCAGAGTTCGCAATCGTTGACGGATGGTTACGAGGAAAAGTTTTGGATGGTAACCGAACGTGTGTTGTTCATAACGAGAGTTTACGGATCATAAAGTGTTTCGGACGAAATATGTTTTAAGCAATACAGACTATTAACATTTATATTAATAATTAATACCGAATATTTGTATTTAAATTAACAGAAAGTTTCTGATATAAAATTTTAACCAAATCGCGAAACCGAA